CTTTTATAATCATTTACAGATTATTCTATAGTATTTTACAGCAGCCAGCTCTGTTATACCAGGACAGCTGAAAAAACCTGTTATTTCCCCACTGTGGGATCAATAAAATGTTTTTTTATCTTACATTTCCCCTGATAAAAGCTACTAATAAATTCTAAAGCGTTTATAAAATCCACATAAATTGAGTGGACATTCAATTTATTACAATTTATTGTAATTTTTGAGTGAGTGAATGAGTGTTAAATGGAAAATGTTCTGAGTTCATACAATCAAAAATGGTTGATCTAATCGGTTACCTCATAACAACCCAGTAACTTTTTTCCTAGTTGTTAAATTACTTCTCAGCCAGTTACAAGTGCTCACTTTTAACAGGAGAAGGTTGCAGTTAATGTGGGGTTTCAAGGTTGTATTTCCCCAGCTAGGCTACTCGGATGGGACCTGTAACCTTGTTGAAAACAGGGATGAACCCCGCAAATGAATTTAACCAGTGCTGAGCTAACTCTCCTATCTCTCACTCAAGCAAGCTGATCTATCATCTGTTCAGGCAACCCCTGTCAGAGTTTAGTTGAGAGTCCTAACCCCAGAGACGGAGGGGTGAGAAAATTAAGAGGGTAGCCCTTAGACCTGTGTCCACAGGTAAACTGAAGGTTACCCCAAAACCAGAAAAGCAATCAAGAGCAATCTCATGGATCTTTTCAAGTTCTAGTTATTTTTTCAAAAACTCGGTTTCAAATTTAACATGTAGGACATAAAAAAACCCAAATAACATTAAATAACCACTTCCAACCCACTCTGCTGTTASAAAATGGTTCTTCCGTCCTCCTTTCCTTTGGATGTTGCTGTAGCCAACAGTCCACCTGCCCCACCCCCGCGTGTGTTTAATACAGATTTTTTGGTGAGAATTATGGATTTTTGACGCATGTTGACATGTATGGTGGCAGGACAGATGAACTTCTCTCAGACTTGTCTGTTGCTCTATATTGTTTCTTTCACTATACAGTATTTTGATGGAATGATGTAATAAAAATCTTTGAGTCACAAAGACCTTTTTTGACTTTATGTGTTTAAGATGGTTTTTTTCCTTGGATTTGCAGAAATTGCACACGTCATAAAGTCAACTTTTATAGTTTAGTCTTTGCATCTTTAAACAAAGCCTCTGGATACTTCTGATGCTGCAGACACCATGATGAAGAAAACACACAGAATACCGAAAGAAAAACTGTTTTATGTGAAAATGTTTCAGCATTTTACAATTTCAGCAATACTTTCACAATAAAAGTACAGAATCATTCCAAATGTAGAGCAGTGGTTAAAAAAAGGCTCTGAAATCTAAGACATAATTATTGTGGTTGATTATTTTTGCTGCATATTATTCTTTTTACTCAATAATAATATGCCAATTGTTATTTAAAGTAATTTAAAACTATCATGAGAGATCCAGATTTGAGAAAAAAGTATTTAAATTTGAATCGGAAGAATTTATTGATTGTGTTGTTAAAGCTGATATGTTTTTTTATAAGACTAATTTAATATCTGCACAGTTGATAAACTTTAATTTAGCTCCACCTAAAACTGATCATCAATGACTTTTATTTGGCCAGAAGCTTTGACTGTAACAGTCAAAAATATTGATCAGATATTGGTGGCTTTTATTGCTCTCACAGTGACCAAAGTGATTACTTTGCTGGTGCCAATAAAGCTGCATTATTTTAAATAAAGTTTGATTCAAATGTTTGCTACAACAATAAAGTTTTGCTCAGTTTGTATTTAAAACAGCTAGCAAAGCTAATAGGCTAACTTTAACAAGGAAGACATGATGACATCATCATCATCATCACCTTGATCAGTTTTTTTTTCTCAGCATGTCTTTGGCCTTTTTAAAGACCTCTCTGGTTCAGACCCTGAGATTAGTGTAGATAGGACAACCATCTCAACAGCAAGATGGTGTGTTGGTAAAATCTATGATAACAACCCATCATCATCATCATCATCATCATCATCACCATCAGTGTAGTGCAAAAATCAAACACACATGTGCTTTTCATATGTGTTTTTGTGTTTATATAAAGTGTACTACCACATGTTTGCTGTGTGGGATGGTTTGTGTATGTGTTCAATGTGTATGTGTCTGATGGTGTGTGTTGTTGTGTATCAGCGTTTGTTGGGCATGTGTCTGATGGTGTGTGTGGTTGTGTATCAGTGTTTGTTAGGCATGTGTCTGATGGTGTGTGTGGTTGTGTATCAGTGTTTGTTAGGCATGTGTCTGATGGTGTGTGTGGTTGTGTATCAGTGTTTGTTGGGCATGTGTCTGATGGTGTGTGAAGTTGTGTATCTGCTTGTTGGGCATATNGGCATGTGTCTGATGGTGTGTGTGGTTGTGTATCAGTGTTTGTTGGGCATGTGTCTGATGGTGTGTGAAGTTGTGTATCTGCTTGTTGGGCATATTTCTGCTGGTGTGTGTGGTTGTGTATCTGCTTTTTGGGCACGTGTCTGCTAGTGTTTATGGTTGTGTATCAGTGTTTGTTGGGCATGTGTCTGATGGTGTGTATGGTTGTGTATCAGTGTTTGTTGGGCATGTGTCTGATGGTGTGTGTGGCTGTGTATCAGCATTTGTTGGGCATAGGTCTGATGGTGTGTGTGGTTGTGTATCAGTGCTCGTTGGGCATGTGTCTGATGGTATGTGTGGTTGTGTATCAGTGTTTGTTGGGCGTGTGTCTGATGGTGTGTGTTGTTGTGTATCACTGTTTGTTGGGCATGTGTCTGATGGTGTGTGTTGTTGTGTATCTGCTTGTTGGGCATGTGTTTGCTGGTGAGTATGGTTGTGTATTAGTGTTTGTAGGGCATGTGTCTGACGGTGTGTGGGGTTGTGTATCAGCGTTTGTTGGGCATAGGTCTGATGGTGTGTGTGGTTGTGTATCAGTGTTTGTTGGGCATGTGTCCGATGGTGTGTGTGGTTGTGTATCAGTGCTCATTGGGCATGTGTCTGATGGTGTGTGTGGTTGTGTATCAGTGCTCGTTGGGCATGTGTCTGATGGTGTGTGTTTGTGTATCAGTGTTTTTTGAGTATGTGTCTGATGGTGGGTGTTTGTGTATCAGTGCTCATTGGGCATGTGTCTGATCGTGTATGAGGTTGTGTATCAGTGTTTGTTGGGCATGTGTCTGATGGTGTGTGGTTGTGTATCAGTGCTCATTGGGCATGTGTCTGATCGTGTGTGTGGTTGTGTATCAGTGTTTGTTGGGCATGTGTCTGGTGGTATGTGTGGTTGTGTATCAGTGCTCGTTGGGCATGTGTCTGATGGTGTGTGGCTGTGTATCAGTGCTCACTGGGCTTGTGTCTGATGGTGTGTGTGGTTGTGTATCAGTGTTTGTTGTGCATGTGTCTAACAGTATGTGTGGTTGTGTATCTGCTTGTTGGGCACGTGTCTGATGGTGTGTGTGTGGCTGTGTATCTGCTTGTTGGGCATGTGTCTGACGGTGTGTGTGGTTGTGTATCAGTGTTTGCTGGGCATGTGTCTGATGGTGTGTGTGGTTGTGTATCAGTGTTTTTTGAGCATGTGTCTGATGGGGTGTGTGGTTGTGTATCAGTGTTTGTTGGTCATGTGTAAGATGGTGTGTGTGGTTGTGTATCAGTGTTTGTTGGTCATGTGTCTGATGGGGTGTGTGGTTGTGTATCAGTGTTTGTTGGGCATGTGTCTGATGGGGTGTGTGGTTGTGTATCAGTGTTTGTTGGGCATGTGTCTGCTGGTGTTTGTGGTTGTGTATCAGTGTTTGTTGGGCATGTGTCTGATGGTGTGTGTGGTTGTGTATCAGTGTTTGTTGGGCATGTGTCTGATGGTGTGTGTGGTTGTGTATCAGTGTTTGTTGGGCATGTACAGTACACACCAAAGTTTGGACTCACCTTCTCATTCAAAGAGTTTTCTTTATTTTCATGACTATGAAAATTGTAGATTCACACTGAAGGCATCAAATCTATGAATTAACACACGTGGAATTATATGCTTAACAAAAAAGTGTGAAACAACTGAAAATATGTATTATATTCTAGGTTCTTCAAAGCAGCCACCTTTTGCTTTGATTACTGCTTCACACACTTTTGGCATTCTCTTGATGAGCTTCAACAGGTTCACCTGAAATGGTTTTCCAACAGTCTTGAAGGAGTTCCCAGAGATACTTAGCACTTGTTGGCTATTTTGCCTTCACTCGGCAGTCCAGCTCACCCCAAACCATCTTGATTGGGTTCAGGTCCGGTGACTGTGGAGGCCAGGTCATCTAGCGCAGCACCCCATCACTCTCATTCTTGGTCAAATAGCCCTTACACAGCCTGGAGGTGTGTTTGGGGTCATTGTCCTGTTGAAAAATAAATGATGGTCCAACTAAAGGCAAAATGGATGGAATAGCATGCCGCTGCAAGATGCTGTGGTAGCCTTGCTGGTTCAGTATGCCTTCAACTTTGAATAAATCCCCAACAGTGTCACCAGCAAAGCACCCCCACACCATCACACCTCCTCCTCCATGCTTCACGGTGGGAACCAGGCATGTAGAGTCCATCCGTTCACCTTTTCTGTGTCGTACAAAGACACGGTGGTTGAAACCAAAGATCTCAAATTTGGACTCATCAGAGCAAAGCACAGAGTTCCACTGGTCTAATGTCCATTCCTTGTGTTCTTTAGCCCAAACAAGTCTCTTCTGCTTGTTGCCTGTCCTTCGCAGTGGTTTCCTAGCAGCTATTTTACCATGAAGGCCTGATTCACACAGTCTCCTCTTAACAGTTGTTCTAGAGATGTGTCTGCTACTAGAACTCTGTGTGGCATTTTGGCTGTGTACTGTATCCACCTTCTGCACAACATAACTGATGGTCCCAACCCCHTTTATAAGGCAAGAAATCCCACTTATTAAACCTGACAGGGCACACCTRTGAAGTGAAAACCATTTCAGGCGACTACCTGTTGAAGCTCATCAAGAGAATGCCAAGAGTGTGTGAAGCAGTAATCAAAGCAAAAGGTAGCTACTTTGAAGAACCTAGAATATAATACATATTTTCAGTTGTTTCAAACTTTTTTGTTAAGCATATAATTCCACGTGTGTTAATTCATAGTTTTGATGCCTTCAGTGTGAATCTACAATTTTCATAGTCATGAAAATAAAGAAAACTCTTTGAATGAGGTGTGTCCAAACTTTTGGTCTGTACTGTATCTAATGGTGTGTGTGGTTGTGTATCAGTGCTCGTTGGGCATGTGTCTGATGGTGTGGAAGATCCAGTCCATCTTAGTGCTCCATCCTCCATGATGAGCGTCGTTCATCTGTTTGGTGAAATACTCCAGTGCCTCCTGCTGGCTCTTCTCTGGCAAAAAGAAAACACAGAATGAGGAAGCTGATAGACAAACTGGATATGGTAAGAGGTTCTTTGTACTGATACCAGACTTGATAACAGTTCATTTGGTATATTAGTGTCAAGGTAAAATTAGACATAAAATAACTCTTGCAAACTATGGACTAACTAATAACTAAGAACAACATAACCCATCAAAAGACAAAGGAATAAGTGTTTACACTGGTGTGTGTGTGTGTGTRCATGGGTTTGTCCATCAAAGACAAGGAAGAGGAAGAAAAAGAAACAGCTCACATGTCCATGTCTTGTCTTTGAAATAACAAAACAACATAGCAAAAACCACCAATTTATGGCAGTCTGCACAACTCCCATCTTACCTAAAGCCAAGGTCTTCCTCAGGTAAGCGATGTCATCAAAACTCTGCAGTTCAGGCATGCCACAGCCCAGCAGGAGGGAGAAGAGGTTGATGAAAAGGCTGGCGTGCTGTCGGATGGCCAGGTAAGCTTTGTAGCACATCTCCTGGAACCTGCAGAACAGGCAAACACAGGTGAACAACAATAAACCACAGGGAGACAGGCCCTGAGACAGCCAACAGAATTAGCTGCAAACAGTTGAGGAGCACGCAAGACCTCTCAAACTCTTTAGTCTTGGTGGATTCCTGAACTCCTTTACTGATGACAATGAGGAAGTCCTGAGTCAGGACAAAGGGAACACGCTCTCTCTTGTACCCGAACTTCTTCTTCTTGTGGTCCAAGAAGTGACCAAAGTCAATGTGGAACAGCTAGAAGAGAAGAGGAGGAGTCAGGAGGTGGATCCGGGATGAGAAGGAGCATGAAGCAGAGTGGGAGGCTCACCTGTCCATTCTCTTTCACCATGATGTTTGAGTTGTGTCGATCTCCAATTCCCAGTATGAATGTGGCAACACAGTATCCTGCACACGACCTGGTGAACAGGTCAATTGCTCGGTCATACCTGAAAGACAGGTGAGTCAGTTGAGTCAGACTGGTGGGTTATCAGACAGAGAGATCAACAGAGAGCTGTTCATATGGACAGACACACAGATACAGGTAAAACAGGAACACTTCTGGGGCAGCATGACTGCTCAGTGGTTAGGGAGTTGGCAATCCAGTGGGTCACTAGCCTAGATATGCTAGTTGCTAATCTCCCCAATGCTAATGCCAGATTATCCATGCTAGTCGCTAATCTCTCCAATGCTAATGCCAGCTTATCCATGCTAGTCGATAGCCTCTCCAATGCTAACGCCAGCTTATCCATGCTAGTCGATAGCCTCTCCAAAGCTAACGCCAGCTTATCCATGCTAGTCGCTAGCCTCTCCAATGCTAACGCCAGCTTATCCATGCTAGTCGNCTAGCCTCTCCAATGCTAACGCCAGCTTATCCATGCTAGTCGATAGCCTCTTCAATGCTAACGCCAGCTTACCCATGCTAGTCGATAGCCTCTCCAAAGCTAATGCCAGCTTATCCATGCTAGTCACTAGTCTCCGATGTTAATGCCAGCTTATCCATGCTAGTCACTAGCCTCTCAGATGCTAATGCCATCTTATCCATGCTAGTCGCTAGCTTCTCCAATGCTAATGCCAACTTATCCATGCTAGTCACTAGCCTCTCAGATTCTAGTGCAAATGAATAGTCTCCTTCTCATTTGCTAGCGCCGGCCTCTCAGTTACCGTGGCCAGATGCTCAATTATCAGTGCCTTTCATTGATCAGATCAATAGCTGGCTTAGGAATATATATAGTCTCCTTCCAGAAGGATGTAGCAACTGCTGGTTGCACAATAGTTTTAGCTTTGGCCCTCATACGACGCCATACTCGTTGTGCTTGTGTGGGTTTTCTCTAGGTACTCCAGTTTCCCCCACAGCACAAAAATACGTATAATAGGTTGCCTTCAGGGTCAGGCTGCTCTTGCAAAAAAGCTCTTCTGTGTCAATGAGATTTGCCTGGTTAAATAACAGTAAATTTCCATTTTCTGCAAAAATTTGGCATAAACACTGAAAGGCTTTTCTGAAATTTGTGGAAGTTGAAATTGAGTTTTTAAGAGTTAAAAAAGTTTTTAAAAAATGTAGCTAAAAGAGAAAAGTAGCAAAATGTTAATTATAGCTTCTAGCAGCAAAACAGTAGATAAAAGCTAAACTGTTAAAAGAGACATCATGCTTTTAAATTCTTCTTTTTCATTTTTAAATCATTCAATTGGGGTCTAGTTATGTTTGCAGCACCGGGAGAGACTAAATTCAAATTTTTACCATTCCTGGAGACTCCAAGTACACAAAACGCATTTAACAGCTAAAAAAAACCAACAAATTTTTGCATATGTTTCATTTAAAGTAGCATAAGATAAAACTAGTATGCTGAAGCAGATCTAAAAAATGAGGAATTGTTTCCTACATGAAGTTACATTTGATGACAAGTATATACAGTATTTATATGTATATATAAGTATACATACAGTATATTTTTACCTGTGTAGAAGGATGCATAATTTAAAAGGCTGACAGACAAGACAAGTGATCAGACAGGTACAGTAAAGGTGTACTGACGCTTCTCCGCGGTTCTTGTCTTTGATCCAGTGATGCAGAGTGTTGGAGTTGAACTGCAGCGCCCCCTTCAGGCCTCCTTTACACTGAATTTGCATGATGGTGAAGCTGTTCTTCACCACCTCGATCAGACCCACACAGTCACCGATCGACAGGCAGCCGTATGGCAACATGCTGTGACACATCCACACACAGACACCAGGTTAGCCAGGTGTGTATTCACATCACCCTCTCTGATGATGGAACCGGCTCTCACCGTAGGTCCAGTCCCTGATTTTGCCAGATGTTCTCCATGATCCTTATGATCTGCAGTGTCAGCATGTCCTGACGCAGGTCTGCAAAACAAACAAAAAATTGCATTACCCACAGCTGCTGTTAGCACAGTTAGCATTCAGCACTAAAGCCAGTGCTGTGTTTGGCACAGAGCTACTAACCGTCTCCGTTTTTGAAGATGATCTCGTTGTTGGTGAAAAGCAGCTCTGACATGATATCTGGGTTTTCCCAGTTCAGCCACAGCGGGCGCTTTGCCGAAGACATGATCCTACACTCCTCCAACCTACAAACACAACACTCTGTCACTATGATTTACTGTATTTAGTAATTTAGACAGATGTTTAGTGAGTCAGCTGATGGGTTGGTTACCTGAGGTTTCCTAGCTGGTGAACTGGGTTCAGAGGAGAGACAAATCCCTGCAGCGAGTCCATGTAATCTGGACGTGACATGTGTTCAACCAGGAACTTCATCTGAGTCTAAATACCAATCACAGAACAGCATGCCAACATTTTTTTTATTTAACCTTTATTCTACCAGGATAAAAAAAATATTGGGCCTCATGCAAGAACCGTTGGTA